CGCCCAGCAAGTTGGCGTGTACTTAGTGCAAATTGGCATGTAGTTAGTGCATTTCTCAAATCCTCACTTGGTAACTGCTAGATAGCACTTGCAACAAAATGTTTACCACGTTATTGTGAAATGCGAGCACTTCCCAGAGCCACCGCTAGTGATGTCACCGACATCTTCATTCATGTTGACGTCTTTTGTCATGGCGCACCGGCAGTGGTTATTACCGACAGAGGTACTGCCTTCATCGTCCACCTACTAGAAGAAGTGCTCACACTCAGCGGCACCATTAACCACCGGACGACAGCGTACCATCCGCAAGCCAACAACCTCGCATAACGACTCAACAGAATCATTGTTGCCATGCTCCCCATGTATTTCGAAGTGGATATAATATTGCTGTACAAGAGACCTACAGGATTCACACCTTTTCGCTTTCTTCACGGCCGTGAAGTTATCACGGGGTTAGACGTCATGTTACTACTTGACCCATTTCTGACCACCATAGAAAATGCTGCCGAATATGCTCAGTGCGCCGGAGAAGCTCACCAGCGGGCCCGGTTTCGCAACTGGTCTCTAAAAATCCGACGCTATACGATACAACTTTCGTCATAGAGAAGTGACGCACGAACCCGGAGAAAATGTATAAATATGGATTCTCGTCCGCCAACGCGGCAAGTCCGAGAAACTCCTACGCCATTACTTGGAGCTCTACAGAGTTCTAGAACACCTCAGTGACGTCAACTACTGAGTTATTCCCGAGACCATCCTATATACGTCTACGTATATAGGATGAAGCCATATCACTCGCGCTGAAGCTTCCTTGCCTTTACAACTTCAAAAGCACACAGCCGATGCGTTTTGAGAGGAGGACTAATGACACGGACATACAGTGTGTTATTGTCTGTTGTGCAAGGAGTTGCTCGGAGGATTCAAAGCTGATCCTTTGTGCCCCCGCGATTACCGACGACAGCGTAGCTCCCGCCGACTGGTTCGTGCTCCGCGGTCTCCTGACGCCGTGCAGCTCTCGTATTGTGGTGCCCCGCCCTTGGACTGCTTCAACCGGCTCCCCACTTGCCTATCTCCTCCTTTTTCTGCCGCTTGCCTTCTCTATCTCTTCACCTGTTTTATTCTATTCTTTTAGGCAAGATAAGAAGCAGAATAAGCAAGAGTCAACCCTCTTTTACAGTCCCTGCCGCAGTTCGCATTTTAAATCTCGTCTTTCAGTCTGTTTGTTGGAATCTTGTGATCTTCATTCAGGTCAATTTGATTTGAGTGCTCCGGGAGTACTTTGAGCACTATCCGCTCCATAACACTTGCTTTCGAAGTACCAGGTATAGAGTAGTTATGTGACCTTGCATTTCCGGGGTTCCCGACATGACACAGGATCCGGCAAGCAGAAACAAATGGCCTTTGTGTGCTTAGTTGCGATACCTTGTGTAACAAGTGACCTATGATGGTTCCAAACTCACGCCCTATTTTTAGGCCTTCAGGGTACTATGAGAATCTGTGTGTACTACTGAACTTTCAACATGGCCCGTGCTGTGTACCGCTATTCAGAATACAAAACACTCAACAGTGTAAATAAAGACAAGTGTGGTTGTCTAAATGTATGTTTCTATGTACAGCAACCTTCTTCTATAAAGCGTCTTAGATAGACTAGAATAAAATTATCAGTAAGTGTTGCATATTTCTTGTATTGTGAAAAATTTCTTTTGTATGGGGTCACGAGCGTCTCTTCTTTCTTTTGATTCGCCAGTCAAAGTCAGAAAAATTTTCGTGAAGCTTTCGAATGCGCTAATCTAGATAGTTCTTTTGCAACCGAAATCGCTTTATTAGGGGTAATGAAACGCGATTTTTTCTCGAACTTTAGTCTTAGTGGTAGTTTAATGACAATGGATTGTTGAAGAAATGTAGATGTGTTATACCGGGTGTTCAAAATTAAGCTTTATGATTTTTTTAAAATTAGGCGCTCGAAGGCACGTGAGAACCACTTGTGCAAATAAGTTAAGCGGCCAGGGGGACAGAAAGTTAGATGATAATTATCGCTGTCAGCAGCCCAATTAACTAAAATTTAATAATTAACTTTTTACTGGCTGCGGTAAGTTGGCATGTTTATATTGAAAAAATGTAGGCAGTGGTGTTTGTACACAGTTTCAGTTGGAAGATTTTTTCTAGCACGCCTGTGTTCCGAGATATCCGGCTCCAAAGTTTAATTGTCTTTCGCACGATTACGCATGCAAGAGGGTGAGGGTCCGCGCAAAGCTCCTCCCTAAAGTGACGCATCTGTTGCGTGTGGTGTTTAGTGTGTGAAGAGGGTGGAAGCGTAGGCATAGGTGATAGCAATTACCCTTGCCCTCTTCGGCCGTCGAAATCAAAAATCGAAGAACGCTTGCAACCAGTGTCGTAACACGCAACTGCAGAGCCTCTAACGATAGTGGCAGATACCATGCCGAGATAATGGTGCGAGCGGAGAATCTGGATGCCAGTGCGCGTGCGTAATAATCACTAGAGAAGCATGCGTGGTCGTTGCCTGGGCTACGCGAATAGCGTGACTGCTGATGTCCGAGTACTGTAACTTTTATTGAAACAAGAGCAACAACTCCACCAATAATAACTGAAACAGTTTTATCCTTGCTAACGCATATTTCCTGCTGCTACATAAGCATATTTCGGTCATGCACAAATCTCATCGAAACTCTTCACCTCTCAAGACGTCAATGCCCCAAAAAGTGTTCAAAATGCCTGCCTTCGGCAGCAACGCAAAGCATGAACCGCTGTCGCGTCGACTCGATGACTCGGCGCAGTACTTCTGCAGGAATACTCGCACAGGCAGATGTTATCCTGTCCTTCATGTCATTAACATCGCTGGGCTCTGTTACGTAAACTCGATCTTTAACGTAGCCCCAAAGGAAAAAGTCGAGCGGAGAAAGGTCAGGTGATCTTGGTGGCCAAAACATCGCTCCTGCGCGCCCAATCCACTGTTGTGGAAAACGTCTGTCCAACCAGTTCTTCGCCCTGGTAGAAAAATGTGGTGGTGCTCCATCGTGCTGAAACCATACTTGGCGCAGGTCATTCAGGGAAAGACTGCAGACAAGATCATCAATGACAACACCTAATATTTCTTCTGTGTACATCTTTCCGTTCAAGTTGTCCTCAAAAAAGTGAGGTCCGATGATCCTGTCCCCGAGTATGCCGCACCACACATTCACACTCCAGCGAACTTGATGCTTGTGCTGCCTCAGCCAGTGTGGGTTTTCTTGTGCCCAATAATGGGCGTTGTGAAGATTAACACTTCCATTTCGGCAAAACCGAGCTTCATCAGTCCAAATTATTCTGTGCAAAAAGTCATTTTCTTGATCAGTTTTGATGAGGCCCCAATTGCAGAAGTCAACTCGCCTTTCAAAGTCCGCCTCATTTAGGTCCTGATGAAGGTAAACGTGATATGGATGGAACTTGTGCTTTCTTAAAACATTTGTGACTGTTCCGATGCTGCGACCGCACTGATCGGCAATCTGTCGGATGCTGAGCTCTGGCATCGAGGTTACGCACGCGACAACGTCGATTTCAAAGTCTTCATCGACGATTGCCTTCCTGGTCCGTCTCGGAAGGTGGACAGAGCCTGTTGTGCAGAAGCGTCGAAACAGGTTTGTGAAAGTGGGCCTTGTTGGAAGGGGACGGTGTGGGTGGCGAGACGCGTAAAGCTCCATTGCTAACGAAGCGTTGCCATTCATTTCAGCCATTGCAAGCACCACGTCTACTTTTACTTTGGTAGAATACCTCACGCCAGAAGCAGCCATATTAGCTCGAAAGGACTCCACGTGGATTTCCTTGGTAGACCTTCAATGCAGAGACGCTGTGCTCTAACCGGAGGCACCCTAGTGCAGGACGGTCCTGCTAACGCGTTCACAAGAAGATGTCTCAGTGTGATCTAAAGTCACGAAAAAACGTCGCGAAAAATGGTCTCCTGTTATCGCGTTCATCAGGATCATGCGTAAGGCTCATGGCGCACCGCGCTGTCACATTTTGATTTCGCCGGCCGAAGAGGGCAAGGGTAATTGCTATCACCTATGCCTACGCTTCCACCCTCTTCACACACTAAACACCACACGCAACAGATGCGTCACTTTAGGGAGGAGCTTTGCGCGGACCCTCACCCTCTTGCATGCGTAATCGTGCGAAAGACAATTAAACTTTGGAGCCGGATATCTCGGAACACAGGCGTGCTAGAAAAAATCTTCCAACTGAAACTGTGTACAAACACCACTGCCTACATTTTTTCAATATAAACATGCCAACTTACCGCAGCCAGTAAAAAGTTAATTATTAAATTTTAGTTAATTGGGCTGCTGACAGCGATAATTATCATCTAACTTTCTGTCCCCCTGGCCGCTTAACTTATTTGCACAAGTGGTTCTCACGTGCCTTCGAGCGCCTAATTTTAAAAAAATCATAAAGCTTAATTTTGAACACCCGGTATAGTGTTATGGTGTTACCACATCTGTACTTGGGTGAATAGTGAACTTCGAAAATGTGTGTGAACATCATATGCTCTCTTTTGCGGTCTATAAACCGTTCTCTACTCAGAATGCAGACAAAAGATGAGCGAAGTCCTAAAGGAAGCACTCGCTAGTGTGGCTTAATTCTGCATGGTAACTATCCTCGTTTCGCGGAATCAGACGCTATGCAACGAAGTCCACTTTAGTGCGTAAGAAGGAACGCTACATATGTACGAGACACTAGCACCCAGTAGTCCAGCGCTTCCGTGAAACCTAGTACTTTAAAAGAAATGAGGAAATAACTAAGTTGCCTATCACAGATAACTGTTAAAAGCATATTATGTGTTCTAGTTTTACTGACATTGTTACTGAGAAAATATAAAAACAGCTTTCTGCGCGAACACGTAGAACTTATTTTCATTTATTTAAACGTTACCCGCGCGTAAAATATGAACATTAATTTAAAGCGAGACCATTGAAACAGTGCTAATGAATATTTTTATTTGTCACGGAGTCTTATGAAATTACGCCTGCAAGGTATGTCCCGCCGTTTTTCTGCTAATATGAACTTTTCATTGCTGAAGTAGTTCAAGTATGGTATCTCTATTATGCATAAATCATGGTGCTTTGTTTGTAGACTCGTTGTTGCGTCGAAATCGCCATATATACAATTAATCGTCGCATGCATCTTCTACTCTTGACGGCTCCCTCTGCACTCGTTTTGCTTGAAGATACTGTCTCTGAACAGTTTAGCCAGGGGTACGTCTATAATGCATGTTATCTCACCTCCTCGTTTCCACTGGGAAAACTGAAAATTCGTAAAAAGAAGTTTCGCCGTTAGATGACAACAACCTTCACAATAAATTTTTCCAAGTAAAACTCTGCAAAGTGTATGTGGGACAAAACACATTGATCCTTCGCCCATGCGTGAGCGTCCGCAGATTACAAGTAGGCGTATGGTTTGTACCCTACAAGTGACAAGTCCTAGTTATACGTCCCCGTAGAAGACGACCTTAGCTACATTCCATCAATACCCACACATGAGTCGTCACGTCGTAGTCATCTCTGTACTGGTCGTTCGCATCTCCTCTTGAACAAATAAAAGCGTGACAGAAAACGAGCACGACAAGAGGAACGGCAGACTGGAGCACTGGCTTGAAACTAAAATTTCATTCCAGAAATAATAGGAATGAATAGCATTTGAAAACTAAGAGAAGAAACAATCATCGGGCATGTGCAAGTTGACACAAGTAGCAACAAAACCCTATGTGGCTGATAAGACATAGACGTGACGCAAACTATCCATGTGAGATGTGAAGTGCCTATATGATTTCACGAGCGCACTGCTCTCAGTGGCAATGCGAGATATCTGTTCTATGAAAACATGAGTGGAATGCACTTCTGGGACAATAATGACCAAATAGAATTCTGTGCTATATTCAATATTTTGCACGGGCTCCTAGACTCTAATATTAACTTGACCAATTAAACGTTTTAATGCATTGGTATATCACCTGTTCATTTCAAGCCTTTATCTACACTTTTAGCTACAAGGCGTCGTTGGCATACCTGAAGGTACGAACACCTGTGCATGTATTATATGGCCAACCTAATGAAACCGTGTATTGTTGGGATGCATCAGCTATTTTTTCTAAGCTTCTGAGAATTGGTTTTGTTTGCTGCTTACTTGCATAATTTTTATGATTTTTCATGAAGCATTACTTCTTAGTTCACCTTTTTCCAATACAGAAGGTGTTTCTTTTAGACTATACAGATGTTTATAAAAATGCTATGAAAGTTGCCTCTCTTTCGGCTTCCTTCGATAACAAACTCAACGCCTACGCGGGAACACTTTGCCGCATCTAAAGTTACATTCCATTGAATATTGAGCATCTCGTTAACTAAATTCTGAAGTGTTACTCTGAAGGAAGTTGTTTGCCAATTCTCAGCGAGCACCCAATTCTCAGCGAGCACCCCCCCCCCCCTTTTTTTTTAAATCCACATAAACGCGTCTAATTTCACGTAATAATCCTTCGAATTCAACGCCGTGACCAAGGCAATAGCTGTTATCAGGTGTTTCGGGTGTTCGAAAATTGTAGCTGCTGTGTTACGTGAGGCCGGAATGTGAAGTCAAGAATAGACGTGACGCAAACTTAGTTCGGCAGCAGTGCACAAAATTAGTTCGGCAGCAGTGCACAAGAAAGGCGTACCTCTGACGCTCAATCTACTGCTTTTGCAGATTTCCCTGCCAAGTCGGCCTACCGAGCCTCGTGGAAATACTGCCGTTTCTTCAACGAACAAGCAAGACACGCTGGCCCCCGGACATCGCTTCGGCGTTTCTGCGCAGCCATTTCGGCGCATGAGCCTATCAAGTCAGCTGACACGGAGGGAGTGACGGCGAACAGTAGAAAAGACGGCGGAATCCTGCGGCTCGCTTAGTTCGGCAGCAGTGCACAAGAAAGGCGTACCTCTGACGCTCAATCTACTGCTTTTGCAGATTTCCCTGCCAAGTCGGCCTACCGAGCCTCGTGGAAATACTGCCGTTTCTTCAACGAACAAGCAAGACACGCTGGCCCCCGGACATCGCTTCGGCGTTTCTGCGCAGCCATTTCGGCGCATGAGCCTATCAAGTCAGCTGACACGGAGGGAGTGACGGCGAACAGTAGAAAAGACGGCGGAATCCTGCGGCTCGCTTAGTTCGGCAGCAGTGCACAAGAAAGGCGTACCTCTGACGCTCAATCTACTGCTTTTGCAGGTGAGGCTAGTCCCATTTGTTTCTCTGGCATAGGAGTGCACTGCTGCCGAACATAGCGTCTTTGCTGTTGTTGTGCATGACATTTTGGAAATGGGAAGTAAGGGCTCTGGAAAAGATACTTCAGATTCTAAAGAGTTACGTGACCTGTTCAGGGCGTTTGAGAACTTCAAACGGGATTTCCGGGTAGAAATGAAGGAACTGAAAGAGGGAGTGTCTTTTTGTTCTGATGTATGCAATGATGTTAAAGACGTCGCAGAAGATATCAGGACATTAAGGCAGGAAATGAAGGAACTGCTTAGTGAAAACAGGAAACTAAAGACAGAGAATGAGCGCCTGTCGAAGAAGTGTGATGAGCTAGAGCAGTATCAGCGTTCAAATAACCTGGAGATTAAAGGCATACCACCTGGTAGTGATGCTCTCAGTATTCTTCAAAAGATTGGGGATAGCGTGGGTGAGACCGTTGACACGTCAGATATTGACATTTGTCACTGGGTTCGCACGCCAAAACCTACAATTCAGAACATTCTTGCTCGGTTCGTCAGGCGTGGAAAGAGGAATGATTTTCTGGCTAAATGTAGAAAGAAGAGATTAGACACTTCAATGCTTGGTCTTAGACCAGGGGCTGCTATTTTTGTAAATGAGCACCTAACTCAAGCTAACAAGGCGCTGCTTTCAGCCGCCATCCAAAGGAAAAAGGAAAAACAATGGAAGTTTGTCTGGACTTCTGGTGGTAGAGTGCTTGCCCGTAAGGATGAATCTTCTGCTGTGGTTAATGTGACCTGTCAAGATGACATAGAAAAAATGTGCTGAGTTTGCTGAGTGTATCTTGCGTGTACCAATGTTGTTTTTCGTTGTTCACTATGAGTGTTTTCAGTGAAACTCATAAGTATTACAATGTTCTTGATTTAAAATCGTGTTATCCACAAAATAAAAATTTCCTTTCTGCTTTACATGTGAATGCCAGGAGTATTAGAAGTAAAATAGACGACATAAGCATTTTTCTAGACACCGCGGCAATAAACTTTGATATGCTCATGTTCACTGAAACGTGGTTAACCGATGATAATAATGTCCCAAGTTTTCCTGGATATCGATCTGAGCATCTTTGCCGCGCGGACAGAAAAGGAGGCGGAGTCGCAATTTATGTAAAAGAAAAATATACCCATGAAAAACTAGAACTGTCGGTAATCACAACAGATTTTGAATGTTTGGCTATAAAGGTTGATAAACTTGTAGCGATTGTCATTTATAGGCCGCCTCAAGGGCACAAAACACGTTTTTTAGAGTTTATAGACACACTCCTATCTTCCCCATTACTTCACAACACTTCTTATGTTATCATGGGGGACATTAATATCAATCTTGCTGCAAACGATACGCCCGCCGTACATTTTGAGACACTGCTTTCTGCGTTTGGTTGTGCAAATCATGTATGTTCCCCTACCAGAGTGACCAGGGACAGTGCAACATTACTCGATATATGCGTTACAAATTCGAACCCAGCGGAGATCATAAGCGGTATCGTGTCAAGTGATCTTAGCGATCATTTGCCAGTTTTTTGTTACATACCCTTGTTATTGAAACACCAAAAGCAACAGAAGGAAACCTTCGTCCGACGCAACATAAATAGTGAAAGTAAGAACTTATTCTTTCAGCTCGTCAAAGCAGTAGATTGGAATGATATATATAAGATAAAAGATGCTGATGAGGCCTATAATGGTTTTTTGAATGCATTACGTCACTGTTACAACACGGCATTTCCTAGGAAAGAAGTCTCTTTTCAAAAGAGAAAAACTTGCCGGAAACCTTGGATAGACTGCTCGCTTTATAAACGTATTCAAATAAAAAATGGCCTTTTTAAAAATTTTTTAAGCATACGAGAACCCGAAGCATTTGCCGAGTACAAAAAATACCGCAACGCACTTACATCAGACTTAAAAAAGGCTAAACGAGAATATTATCAGAAAAAATTTCAGAACATATGTGATAACCCAAGAAGGGTCTGGGAAACAGTGGATGCCCTTACTGGGAGAAAGAAAGCAAGACATGACATCACAGAAATGCAAGAGGAAAACGTGGTGCTGCGTGGAGAGAACCTAGCCAATGCTATAAATCGTCATTTCGTCAATGCGGGCGCGTATAGTGGTTTTTCTGAAAGAGAAGATGACTCGTGTTTCGAAGAAACAACAGCTATGCAGAATTCAATCTTTATGCTTCCTACTGACAGTGCTGAGATAGCTAACCTAATAAAAAAACTTAAGAGCAATGTGACGCCAGGTATAGACGAAATCACCGCAGCTGAACTAAAGTTGATATGTCCGCTAATATCCGAGGCGCTTGCTTACATAGTAAATCTTGTACTGAAAACAGGCGTGTTTCCGGCACAGTTAAAAGTTGCAAGGGTAACCCCAATTTACAAAGGAGGTGGCATTAATAATATGTCAAATTATAGACCCGTTTCAGTACTCTCGACATTATCAAAGGTTTTTGAAGGCGTTATTCACGACAGGTTGTTATCCTTTTTCAATAAGTATGGCATCATCACAACATGTCAGTATGGTTTTCAGAAAAACAAGTCTACTGAACAAGCGTTAACGATTATTAAAGATCAAATAATTACAAATATGGAAAATAAGAAATTTACGCTTGGTTTATTTTTGGACTTAAAAAAAGCCTTCGATTCAATACATTATGATATATTGTTACGGAAACTATCACGGTACGGCATACGTGGGGTCACCCTTAAGCTATTACAAAACTATTTGCATAACCGGTACCAACTAGTACAAATGAAGACAGCCACATCAAGTCGGCTTCAGTTGACCCAAGGAGTTCCGCAGGGTTCTATACTGGGTCCTTTGCTCTTTTTGCTTTATGTTAATGATATTGTATGTATACCCGCCTCACCACAGCTTATTATGTATGCAGACGACACAAATGTATTTTTCACATCAGATCACTTAGAAATACTAGAAAAAAATGTAAATGAATATATGACGTCACTCTCAAACTGGCTTAAACAAAACAAGCTACAGTTAAATGCCAAGAAGACG